ATTAGCTAAATTGTGTAATTTTCTCCAGGTACATTAAGTAGTGCTGAAGCTCCTGGTTTTGGAGCAGAATTAGCATAACCCTTTGGGCTTCTCTCAGAACTTCCCTTCGCTCACGGGTATATTTGGTGCTGCATAATACAAGGTGCCGCGCCAAAGGATCCACTAATTGAATTTAATATCCTCAAATCTCCCTCTAACAGGAAATTTCCTCCAAAACCAGCCCTAAAGACCCTCAGCAGTCGCAAGGCACTCCTCCAGCCGCCAGGGGCCGCAATGGCGCTCCTCGCGGTCGGAAGGAAGTGCGACCCTGCGCGGCCTCGGCGTTTCCGCAGTGCGTCGGCATAGCTCCGCGCGCTCTTCACGTCGGAGTTCCAGGAGTAGGCGTTTCCGGCCATTCATACTCCAGTCCGTGGGCCCTTGGTTGTCGCATTTTGTGTACTCTAAGGACAGAGAGCGTGACGGCACCGGCAGGATGAAGCTCGTGAGGTGAGGAGGCGACCAAGTGGAGTGGGGGCTATAAAGCGACGGTTTGGGCCGGGAGCAGGAGACGGCTGCCCCGGTTGCAGGAAGCGCGAAAGCCGCGTGCTCGCGCGGCCTGCTAACGGCCTCCGGCGCCAGCCGCTCCCGCCCTGCCTTGGCCGCGCCGGCGCCGGGGCCTGGTATTTAGAAAGAGTCGTACCGGCATCCTGCGTGTCTTCCGAGAGGTGGATTTAACGGCCGAACCGTTTCTTCCCACCCAGTGTCTCAGGTGCCTTAAAGGTGCAGGGCCAGGCTTACAAGATCTTGCTTTCGGTTACCTACCCATGTTCATTTTGAGTAGAACTCATGCTCTAGTTTAGGTTACTTTTTGGGCCCATCTCAGTTCTCTGGAACTGGCAAATGTAACTAGGTCCACGGTCCCTGAAAACGTGGGAAACATAAAGAAAAATTATGTTCCCTGCGTAAGTAGTTTAATGCGCTTTTTAAAAGAGTACTTAGATGCTGCAGGTGGGGGTATCTGGAAAATAATGAAACCCATTTCCGAAATGTTTTAAATCAGGGATGAACTGACTTCGTAAGTTATTTTTTTAGAGTATTTTTTTTTGTATTCTCTAGACTTAAAATTATTCAACCTACATTCCCTTTTAAAATAGGTCTTGAATTTA